ACCATGGGGAGTCTGTACTTCTAATCCACCCTCGCAATCCTGTAGATAAAAAAAAATTAGGAAAAGGGTTGTGTTAAAAACTAATAAAATTTGTACAGACAGTATGAGTGAAAGAGGCTACGATTTAAGTATTCTCGCCGTTACCTGTTTTTCCGCTTTGCAACTAGTCTGATAGTAACTGTACAATTGATATATAATTGATATATATTTTTTATTTACCTAATTTATTTGTCTGTCAGTTATCAACATTCATAATTACTAAAAAATATGTAACAAATCATTACGTATTTTTTTTACTAGATCTAAACTATATTTTCTTTATTAGCACACAGTTTTCAAAAACTTTAATATACTTTTGTAAAAATAAAAGTCTATTAAGTATGATTTTAATTGTTTAATTGATTATATAATTAATATATGCATTGTTCCAATAACCATTTTAAGTTTCTTCCACGATTACTCATTCTATTCCATAAATTCTATAAAATTACTAGAATAATTGTATACATACTATAAATAATGAATATAGTTTAACGTTGTTTAATTAATTCAAAATTTGTTAAATTCAATTGTAATAGAAATGTTGTTTAAAATATTTAAAAATCACAAATACAGTACTTAAAAAAAATATATTTTTCTCATTTACACAGTAATAATATATATATATTTTAAGTAAAATTATTTATACGTTTTCAAAATTTATTTATTCTGTACAAAATGCGCAATCATGATATGATCTTTATAAATAACATTTTTACTAATATATATTTTATTATATCACTTGATCTGATTTTTTTTTTAATTTTACAAGATATTAAGGAATTATAGAAATAGATTACTCACTCGAACTATCAGTAAATTTTAAAATAAAATTGTTAATAATTATTTTAAAGTTATTTGTACGTGAAGAGTGAAAGCAAACAGAGTCGGTAATGATTGATATTTAAAAAAGTATTGTATCATCCACTGTAACAATATAAAAATATACATATATGTACAATGTATAATAAATATATGATAAATAAATGAATCTTGAAAATGTTTTTTTTTTTGTAAAATTGATAAAGATTTCTTGTCTATCAACGAATTTTCTCTATTAAAAAATGAACATAATTGAGAAAGAATTAAATTTGTTAATTAAAAAAATTGGTTTTTACATTTCTATTATTTTCCAAGAACTATCCGAAAATTTAAAAATAGCCTGAATAAAATCAATTTTGGATATTTATATATTGCTTGATTTTACTAGTAAATAAAAGTGAAAATTATACACAATATATTTATACTTTTAATTTTAATTTGTAATTTGCTGAACAATTAAATAACAATTCTATAAAATATAAATTTATTTCAAATTATTTGAAAGTTTAATTTATTATTTAATTTCTTATTTATATATAAATAGTTTCGACAATTGTAAAATATATAATTAATATTCCATACTTTCAATTTATAATTGGAATAAAAAATTTTATAATAATCAAAGTTCCAATGAATCTCTGAGTTCATATTATTTATCCACTAATTTCTCAATTTATACCAAATACTTTATCATCCGTGGAATAGAAAAAATTCAAGAACAAACGGAACTTTCAAATATACTTTATGAATTTCTGCTTAACAATTCAGTTATTGAGTTGTTTGAAAAGGGGTCCGCTTCATACATTTAAGTATCGACTTAAGAAATATTCACATTAAATAATGTGCACAACTATATATATATTTATATCTTTTGCAATGTTCAAAAGTGATTTATAAAAAAAGTTTTCTTAGTGATATCAATACATTTCTCAATTTCACAACATTTATAGCTCACTGCTTTTTCATGACATTGTGCTAAAGAATTTAAAAAATCGAGCAATTAAATATTTATCTGATAACCTCTGGCTGATAATGAGAAAAATACATTTTTAAGAAAATTTTTAACTTGTTGAAAACATCCTCTCAATAAAAATCACTACCTTAAAACTCGATTAAATCAGCTACCGGGGCTTGACTGTTCAAATCATTCTCAAAGCCAATCGAAGGCTACAGATGCCAGATACAAAGGCAGTGCTTGCACAGCAATGATCGGCGACTGTATCGTGCACAACACTTGAAAATACTGTAATGCCAAGGGCGAGGATCTCGCGAAACGAAGGTCTAGAAAAAGACGGGCGCGGATGCCAAGTTCTGAGAATCCGATTTAACAGTCAGTGTGTTTCTGATGTAGGTTAAACGCGGATGTATTGGCAAGAGTAAACGTACTTGAGCCAAGAGAGTGAAAGTGCCGTAGTCGCAATGCGGGCCACAGCGCGTGAGTCCAGGATCGGGAGCACCCAGGGGCGGATAGTAGATGAGCCTCAGGGTTGACTCGTTACCTGGCAGCAGGAGCTTGGTATGCTTCGACGTCAGGAAATCCGGGGGCTGCTTCAACCCCACGGCCAGGGCCTACATTCATACACGGAGACACACCCGATTGGGTTTTTTCTCTTTAAGCCTTTTCTTTCATAATTTTTTTTGTTTTTCGTTCTTTTTTCAAATCACGCAAAACACACGTACGTTGAGAAGCATCATTGCCAATTGTTTAAAGTCCTGTGAGAGTTCCTCTATGGCGTGGCTGAATCCTGGCACCTCATCGTCCGGTAAGACGCTGCCGTAGCCCGTCACATTGAACGAGTGTCGTATCTCCGTTTCTTGTGTAAATAACCTAAAACAAATTCGTGTA